ATTTCAGCTCAGATTATCAACTCCTCATAGTCCTTTAAAGTCATCTAAGTTAAAGTGGAACCCCGCTCCTCCACAACTTTCTGATCACCACCCTACTTAATTTTTTTAAACATAACCACCAGTTGATATTGTCAATTTGGTTTGCTTAGGAGAAGTATCTATTCAAATCCTGGCCCAATTTTAAATTGGATTATTTGTCTTTATTTCTGAGTTGTAAGAAATTTTTATATATTCTGGATAATGGTCCCTTACCAGATACATGACTGAAACTAATTTCTTCCTTTCCACAGTTTATCTTTCACTTTCTTGATAGTATCCTTTAAAGCATAAATGTTTTTAAGCATGATAATGTTTATTTTACTTACAGTAGGCCCTTGAACAACATGGGGGATTAAGGGTGCCAAGCTCCCTGGGTCAAAATCCCCATATGACTTAAATTGGCCTTCTACATATGAGATTCCTGAGGATCGAAATACAGTTGACCTTTGAATAATAGGTTTGGGTGTATAAGTGGACTCACATTTCAAACTTCTGCTCTTCAAGGGTCAACTATATTTTTTTCTTTTGTTTGCTTGTGCTTTTGGCATCATGATTAAGAAACTATTGCCTAATTCAAGATCACAAAGATTTAAAACTGTGTTTTTTTCCTAAGTGTTTAATAGTTTTAGCTTATTAGTAGTTTAATGGATTTATATGATACTAGAGGCCTGGAATTTGTGCATGGATGGGGTCCCTCTGGGTAGCCTATAGGGATTGGGCAGAAACCCACAGCCCAGTGACACTTGCAGCTCCTATGTGCCATTTCCACTCATCCTGGCCCCACTGTGCTTGCTGCAGGCTTGCGCCCAATCCGTCCTGATCGAGAGAAGCTCGCACTGCCACAGCAGTGCTCGCCAGCCATGATCTCTGCATATGGCACCCTCCCAAAGGGAGTGGCTTGAGGGATTGAGCTCAAACCTGCTCTCTGACATCCCCTGGGGGTCCCAGATTGCGAGAGGGTGCAGGACAGGCTGAGGGACCCTACAAGTGCACGATCAGGCTGAGGAGGAACCATGGGAGAGCTCCAGGGCATGTCTGGCCCATTTCACTCAGCCCTGATTGGCTGATTAGGGCCAGGAAGGGTCTGCAGGAGGGCTACAGGGCATATCCAGCCCATCTCGCCCAGTCCCAATTGGCTAGACCCCAGCAGCAAGCTAATCAACTGGTCGGAGCATCTGCCCCCTGGTGTTCAGTGCATGTCATAGTGACTGGTCAACCAATTGACTGTCTGCCTCCTGGTGGTCAGGGCATGTCATAGAGGCTGGTCGACCAGTTGACTGTCTGCCCCCTGGTGGTCAGGGCCCATCATAGGGTGTGGTTGAGCAGCCTTAGCATATCATTAGCATATTATGCTTTGATTGGTTGGTTGGTTGTTCTGCTGTTGGTCTATTTGCATATTACCCTTTTATTATATAGGATAGGGTAGGGGCCCAACTTCATTCTTTTAATATGAGTTTAATCAGTTGTATCAGTACGCTTTGTTGGAAAGACTATTTTAAGGATCTTGGTATCCTTGTTAAAATCAATTGACCAAAAACTCTGAGTTTATTTCTAGACTTCTAATTCTATTCTATTGATTTAATCTGGCAATTTTTTTTTTAACTCTTTTCATCTCATGACACACACAAACTAATAACTAAAATTTTGCTGCACACCAAAAATTATATTTTTTGCTGATCTGACAAAAAATAGATATGCCTCTCATTCACTCACACTGGATAGCTATTGTGTTGGCAATTGCCATTTTTTATTTGACAGTCTAAGGGAAAAGAGGTCAGCACACCAGTTGAAAATTACTGATTTATGCCTTGAATGCATATATGCATAACCCATGGACACAGATAATAGGGTGCTGAAGGCTTGGGGTGGGGGAAGTGGGATGGGAATGGGCTGGAGAGGGTCAATGGGGGGGAAGAAGGGGGATATGTAATACTTTCAACAATAAATAATTATTAAAAAAATCACGGGTCTATGTTCATAGATTATACTATAGTCAATGAGAAGGATAAGACAGACCTTTATGCACAGACCTGCAAATATATCCCCCAAGAAATATTGTATTGTTTTTTCCAGCTTTATTGAGATACTAAAGGCCTGGTGCACAAAATATGTGCATGGGGGCGGGGAGGGGGGAAGGAGGTCCTCTCAGCCCAGCCTGCACCCTCTCCAATCTGGGACCCCTCAGGGGATGTCCCACTGCCAGTCTAGGCTGGCAGTCAGACATCCCGCTCACAATCTTTGACCTCTGGCTCCTATTCGCTCACCTGCCTGTCTGCCTGCCTGGTCGCCCCTAACTGCTCCCCCTGACAGCCTAATTGACCCCAACTGACCCCCCTGCTGGCCTGGTCACCCCCAAATGCACCCACCCCATCAGCCTGGTTGCCCCTCACGGCCCCCCCCACCGGCCTGGTTGCCTCACGCAGCCTGCTGTTCAGTCGTTTGGTCCTCCCTCACTAACCCCTCTGCTGGCCTGGTTGCCCCACACAGCCTGCTTTAGCCTGCTTGTTCATGCTTTTGGTCATCCTTCACTACCCCCCTGCCAGCCTGGTCGCCCCATGCAGCCTGCATGGCCATCCCTCGGGGTGGCCTTCGACAGCTGAGGGGCTGAAGGGACTGGAGGACTCCGGAGACAGGTGCACAGAGTGGCTGGTCCCTCCTTGGGGAGGGCCTGGCCTTGTCGTGTGCCTGCTGCCCCAGTGGGGCTGTGGTGACGGGGCTGCCATCTTGTGGCTGTGAACACCACCATCTTTGAGGGCGTGACAGTCAATTAGCATATTCCCTCTTTATTAGATAGGATAAGTAACATATAACATTGTGTAAGTTTAAGGTATCAATGTAATGATTTGATATACATACTCGTATATTATAAAATGATTATCACAGCAAGGTTAGTTAACACAAACATCACCTCACATAGTTATCGTGTGTGTGTGTGTGTGTGTGTGTGTGTGAAGAACTTTCAAGATCTACTCTTTTAGCAACATTCCAAGTATAGTATTGTTAACTATAGTCACCATGGCACATTAAACCCATAGAACTTAGTTAACTTATAGCTTGAAGTTTGCCTGTGGCTCAGTACTTTGAATGTAGGCATCTATGATTTATGGGAGACATTTCTTTGAAACATTGCTTCATGATATTGGCTTCTTTTGCTTACATAGGTGAGTACAGAAAAGTACTAGTTGTTGGGGTATTAAATATTTTAAAACTTTGATTATTTAAGGTTTCATTTTATTTTATTACACCATGCTAGTTGATTTTTAGGACTATTTTCTGCTTGTTACTGTAGGACTTATTGTGCAGAACATAGTCTTTGCTTGGCTCAGTCTTAAAAGACAAAGGATAAGCAACTTTTTATCAGTAAATATTTTTTGAGAACCTAATGTGTTGCAGACACTGTTCTGAAGCATAAGCCAGATATAATTCCTATCTTTAAGGAATGTGCAGTCTTAATGGGTGAGTCAGACAAGTTAACTAGTCATTGTTGCACAGGGTGGTACAGGCCACCACAGGGGAATGCAGAAGACTTTGGGAGCCCAGGGGTGGGAATCCAAACCAGACAGAGCTAAGGCACATTTCATGATCAGTGACAGTTAGAAAGGCAGAAAATCAGGGCCAAAGATATTCCAAGCTGAGGAAATTTCAGATGAAGAAAATCTCAGCGGCAAAAAATGACCCATTTATGAAATTGCAGATAAAGCTAAAGTAATATTTCTCAAAATGTGGTCCTCTACCTGCCTGAGTCAGAATCATCTGGGAGTGATTCTTAAGCTCCCAGGTGATTCATAGCTTTGCAGGTGATTCTCAAATTCACTAAAATATGGAAAACACTGGTTAGAGTTAAGAGGCATAATGGAAGAATGAAAATTATAGTGTAATACTAGAGGCCCAGTGCACGAACTTGTGCACAGGTGGTGGTCTGGCTGGTCCGGCCCCGATTTGAGCGGATTGGGGCTAGGCCTGTTGGGAGGAGGAGATGGCAGGAGATTGGCCGGCAGCCCACCTCTATCGGGGCTGAATCAGGGCCCAGCTGGCAGAGGGGGAGAGGCTGTGGGCAATTGGCCAGTGGACCCCATCCCCAATTGGGGTGAGGAGGGCAGTTGGGGGCAGGGCCAGCAGTGGGGAAGGGCTGTGGGCAATAGCAACCAGCCTTGCCTCTGATTAGAGTAGGGGGGGCCTACCAGGGGTGGAGGTGGTTGGGGGAGGTGTAGGCCTATCAGGGTGGTGGGGAATGATTGGGGATGGGACCGACCATGGGGAGGGGTTGTGGCCCTGCCCCGAATATGGAGGGGGCGATCAGGAGCTAGCCGCCAGGAGGAGGGACTATGGGTGGTTGGCTGGCCAGCCCTGCCCCCATTGGTGTGGGAGGGACTGCCAGCTGGTGGGAGGAGCTGTGAGCTGATGGGATTTGGGACCAATCAGGCATGGGGCTGGCCAAAGGGAGGGGCCACAGGCAGTTGGCTGGCTGGCCCCGCTCATAATTGGGGTGGGGGAGAGGGAGTAGGGGCTGAAGGAGGTTGTTAGTCTTCCCCGCCCCCTATTGGGGTAGGGGGTTCAGGGGTGGGGCTACTTGGGGGGAGGGGCCGTGGGTGGGTTGGCCATCTGCCCCACCCTTGATTGGGGTGGGAGAGGCCAATTGGGAGTGGGGCCAGCTGGTTCTCTGGCCGCAGTGGGCATCATAACAACTGGTTGTTTCAGTCGTTACAGTGTCCTAGTCACTGGCTTTTGATATATATATAGAAGATATGCTACATTAAAGGTATCCATAAAATGTTATAATTAAGTTTATTTGCATAGATTGTAAAACAATTTCATTTTAAACCTGCTAATTTCTATCTCTAAGTGATTTGGGGGGGAAGAGGGAAGGGGAAAACAGTGATGTTACTATAAACTTTCCCTAGATGATTCTAAAAACAATGAGTTAAACTTTTATTCATTGAATGTTTTTGTTTTTCTTTTAGTCCAAGGACAAAATGATGAGAGGCTCTCGCCGAGGATGTGTTAGACTCAGAGTGAGTATTTATTCATTTTTATGAAAACCAATTTTGACAGAAAGAAAAAAAATGTTTTGACAGAATCATGGCAGTCTAAATTTAGTTTAGCGTTGTTAGGCAAGCAACTGAGGCTCAGAGAGAAAAAATGATTTCTCCAGAGTAACTGCTAGTCAGTACCAGAACCAGGGCTAAACTCCGTTGGCCTATGATTTATTATTGTATCCATGACTTAATGTAGCTATTGAATTTTTTGTTTTACCTCTGTTTTATAATCAAGGACAGGGGTTGGAAAATGAGTAATAGTGTTGGTAGTAGAGCAAACAGTAGAAAAAACTTTGAAAAATTCCTACTTTTTGCTTCTTTGTTTTTTTTGTTCAACATTCATGGTAGTTATATAGCAGCAACATCGAGGAGAAATATAATGTGAGCCACGTATATACTTTAAAATTTTTACAGTAGCCACATATAAAAAGTAGAAACAGTAAAATTAATTTTAATAACATATTTTGCTTAGGCCAAATAAATAATTTCCAGAATATTATTCCAACATGTAATCAGTAAAAAAGTTATTAATGAAATACTTCGCATTAATTTTTAAACTAGAGGCCCGGTGCATGAATTCGTGCATGGGTGGTGTCCCTTGGTGATCTAGGCGTATCCTGGGGCCAGCTGGCTGGGGGGAGGGGCTGCGGGAGGTTGGCTGGCTGGGTGTCCTTCCCCCTTGGTCAGGGTTTATCTGGAGGAGGGCAAGCCAGGGGGAGGGGCCTTGGGATGTTGGCTGTGGGAGTGCACTGACCACCAGGGGGCAGCTCCTGCATTGAGCATCTGCCCCCTGGAGGCCAGCGTGTGTCATAGTGACTGGTGTTTGGCCGTTCTGGTCGTTCAGTTGCAACAGTCGCTTAGGCTTTCATATGTATAGATACTAAGTCTTCTAAATCCAGGGTGTCTACATTATGGCACAGATCAGTTCAGCCTAGCTGCCCTTCAGGTTCCCAGTAGCCACCTGTGGCTAGTGGCTACTCTATTAGTCAGTGCAGATCTATAGCTTCATGCTGCTTTTAATTGCTTATTCATTTTCCAAGTAGCTAAAGGCAAGAAAGAATTCAGAGTTGGGGATACAGTTTCTAGAACTCCATTGTATCTAAAGAAGGACCAGCTCTATCATAATTAGGTGGATCAGCTTCTAGTGGTAACCTTTTTTTTTTTCAGGCTTCTGTTGCTTCCTTTCTGCCATTTTTTCTTTGGAAGATGTGACTATATTATTGCCTTTATTGGCCATAGTTAATTGGTAGAAATGAGAAATAACTGAGAAAAAAACTAAATCCTAATGGGTAAATTTTGGCACTGAGATAGGAGTATGGTGAAGTTGCAGGATGGGAATGAGGCTTATTTTGAGCAGATGATGGTATATATGTGAGAGTGTAAAGATTTTTAGAAAATATTTACAGCTTTATTTCTTTGGTTTTCCTTCTGTCTTTTTTATTTAATTGCTTTTCTAAGCATTGCTATTGACCTCAGTCACCACTCAGTCTGGAATTAAATGCTTTCTTGTCTTGAGGTACACTCAATAGTGAGACTTCGGCAAAGCTGTATTGAGACAGCTCTTCAGTTGAATTGAATCTGGACTTGGGCCACTCTCTCATTGTTACATTTAATGCAGTATTTTTTCTTTTAAATAGAGCTTAATTAATTATTAACCCGTGTGCCTACCACCCAGGAAAAGAAATACTATTTTGCCAGTTACCCTGGAACCCCCTCGCTGTGCCCCATTCAAATTATAGCACCCTCCCTATCTCCTAAAGTCACCACTATTCTATTCTAGAGTTATGCCTTGGATTTGAATTCCTAAATTCTATATTTTTATCTTGCTCATTGAAAAAAAAAAACAAACCACCTAGATATCTTGTGTTTATAATTTATCTATTGAAGAAACTAGACCCTTTGACCTGTAGGAGTTTTTCATAGTTTAGATTTTACTGATTGCAATTCAGCATGTTCCTTTGTCTCTGCTTTTCTTGTAAACTGGCAGCGGGATCCAGAGACTGGATGGGACCCAGGTTTGATCCATTTGGAAGGCTTTAGGTGGTGGTGTACTCTTTTATCAGGAGGCAAATAATGTCTGGTCTTTGCTCTCTGTTAATATTAGCAGCTATTGATGTTCAGCACCTAGATTCATTAACTTATTTGGGAGTTACAAAATTTTATTTTAATTTTTCAAGATAGGATAAAAGCTTAATTATTTATTTTACTTACCCAATTTTCAAGATAATGAATTGAGTTAAGACACTCATTTATATATACAGGGTGGGGCAAAAGTAGGTTTACAGTTGTGAATACGAGGAACATAATTCATTGTTTTCTTGTTGTTGTTAACCCTTACCAAGGACATTTTTTCCATTGATTTTTACAGGGAGTGGAAGGGAGGGAGGGAGAGACAGAGGCAGAGACAGGACAGAGAAAGAGACATTGATGTGAGAGAGACACATTGATTGGTTGCCTCCCACATGTACCTCACCAGGGCGAAGAACAAACTTGCAACCCATGTTTTTGCCCTTGATGGGGAATTGAACCTGAGATCCATTGGTGCGAGGGCCAACCTGAAAAACCAGCCAGGGTAGTTTATTCTTGTATTATTATTTTTAAAATATTGTATTATTTTTCATATGAACAACTGTAAACCTACTTTATCCCATTCTGTATATATCCAAAAGAATTTCAAGTAGACTCAAACAGGTCTTTCCACACCCATGTTCATAGAAGCATTATTCACAATAACCTAAAGGTGGAAGCACTCACTGTCCATTTAATGAATGAATAGATAAAATGTAGTATATAGGATGTTATTTAATCTCAAAAAGGAAGAAAATTCTGACACATGATGTACCTTAAGGCCATTATGCTGAGTGAAATAAGCCCATCATTAAAAGACAGATACTATATGATTCTACTTATATGAGGTACTAAGAATAGTCAGATTTGTGGAGACAGAAGGTAGAATGGTGGTTTCCAATAGTTGAGGGCAGGGAATCAGGGGGGAGTTCTTGTTTAATGGGAACAGAAGTTCAGTTTGGAAAGATGAAAAAGTTCTGGGGATGGATGGTCATACACAATGTGAATGTACTTAATGCTACTAAGCAGAACACTTAAACATGTTTAAATAGTAAATGCTATGTTATGTGTAATTTACTACAATTTAAGAAACCTGCATCCATTTATTATTTCACAGTTCTGTAGATCAGGCATCTAGGAAAGGTTCTCTGCTTAAGGTCTCACAAAACTGAAATAAGGTATTGACCAGTTTCAACTCTCATCTGGAGGCTCTGAAGAAGAATCAAAGGGAAAATCTGCTTCCAAAGTCATTCAGGTTGTTCGCAGAACTCAGATCCTTGTAGGAATGAAGTCCTTGTTTTTTCACTGGCTGTCAGCTGAGATCTGCTCTCTCAGTTTCTAGAAGCTGCACATACGCCTTGTCATGTGGCACCCTCCATTTTCCAGTCAGTATGCCACATCGAATCCTTCTAGTGTTTTGAATCTCTCTGACTTCCCATTCTGCTACCCTTTATTTAAAAGACCTCATTGATGTGGAGAAAAGGGAACCCTTGTGCACTGTTGGTGGGAAAGCAGGTTGGTGTAGCCACTATGCAAAACAGTATGGAGTTTCCTAAAAAAATTAATAATGGAACTGCCTATGATCCAGCATATACATATTTGAAGAAACCCTGCCCAAAATATTAATTTGAAAGAATATAAGCACCCCCATGTTCACTGCAGCATTGTTTACAATAGGCAATTTATGGAAATAATCCAATTACCTATAAACAGGCTAGTGGATAAAAAAGGGATGGTACATATATACAAATGAATATTACTTGGCCATTTGTGACAATATGGATGTACTCAGAGGGTGTTATGCTAAGTGAAATAAGTCAGTCAGAGAAAGACAAATACCATATTATTTCACTTATATGTGGAAACTAAATAACAAAATAAATGAACAAACAAAATTGAAACAGACTTATAGATACAGAAAACAGACTGATGGTTGCCAGAGGTTTGGGGGATTGGGGACCTAAGGGAAAAAGGTGAAAGGATTAAGAAGTACATATTGCTAGTTATTAAATAGCCATGGGGAATATAGAGTAGAGCATAGAGAATATAGTCTAGTTATTATACAATGTAGTAACTATGTAGGTGCCAGGTGGGTATGGGAAATATTAGGGGAACATTTTGTGAAGTGGTATGATTGTCTAATCAGGGGTCCTCAAACTTTTTAAAGTGGGGGCCAGATCACGGTCCCTCAGAGAGCTGGAGGGCCGAACTATATGAACTACTAATTCCTACTGTAACACCTCGGCTGCGCTCACTGCCCAAAAAACCTGGCGGGCCGGATTAGGCCCGCGGGCCGTAGTTTGAAGACTCCGTACACCTAAAAAACTAATCAAAATAATATTGAATGTAAACTAGAAGTAAAAAATAAAACTAGTCTTGGCTGATGTTGCTCAGCTGGTTGGACTATCGTCCCATAAACCAAAAGGTGGCAAGTTCCTGGGCAGAGCACATACCCAAGTTGCAGGTTTGATCTCTGGTCGGGGTGCATGCGGGAGGCAGCCAATCAATGTTTCTCGCTTACATAGATGTTTCTCTCTCTCTCTCTCTCTCTCTCTCTCTCTCTCTCTCTCTCTCTCTCTCTCTCTCTCTCCAATTAAAAATAATATGAATAAAATTAAAATTCCTGATTAAAAATGAGTAAAAGGCATTATGTGATTAGATTAGGTTATGCCCACCAGATAATCTCCCTTTTGCCATATAATCAACCCATTGATAACTCATCCTGTAACATAATCACTGCAGTGAGATCTCATCATTCACAGTTTTTACCCACATGCAAAGGGGCAAAGGTAATGGAGGGTGGGGTAGAATTCTTTCTACCACACAGCAACAGAGAAGAACCAGACAAACCTGTGTGTAATCTTATTTTTGCCCTTTAATTTGTTGACGGGAAGAGAGAAGTTACTGGT